AATTCAAGCATTACAAGAAATTGATTGGCGGGTAGCAAAGTATGACGTTTAATACGATATGTCACGGACGATAACTTGTACGACTCTTACTGAGATTTGAATTCTGTGTATTTCAATAAGAATTGCACGAACAGTTGAAGTATGAGACGAGGGTGTGATTTTTAGGGTAGACTTCGCAAGAAAAGTAAGGAGTTCGGGTGATATAGACCAATGCGACATGAAGCGAATATTGAAAGGACAAGTACACTTAAGCAATACTAAATGGGCCCTTTTTATGTGCCATTTTACTTCAGAATATATTACCAAATCGTTCTCTATTGGTAATAGTTAGATACTAGTAGATATTTCTAATCAAAAAGCATGTTAAGCGCCACTTAAATTAGCATGGATTTGAAACAATTGAATATTTTGAAAGGCCTATGGATACCCTATAAATCCGGAAAAGTCGTACCGAACCTTCTTTTAGTTTCCTTTAGGTAAATCAAGGGAATAGATATTTAAATCGATACTTGAACAATCTGATGGTGGATCATAGTCGGGCGCGTTTGAGGAATGATATTTCTTACGCCAAACCTGTTTTTAAAAATATGGAATGAAGTTGTGTAGTTGCCTGTATCTAAAATGATTAAACTAAGAAATTGGTACTCTTGCATTTGAAAAATTACAATAATAGTTTCATTGAATTTGAAATTTAAAAAGAGTGTTATAGGTGGCTTTCAATACAGGTCTGTTTCATTGTCTTGCATTAAGGTTAAAAATGTTTGACACTTTATGAACGACACTTAAATCTCCTTTCCCTCCCGTGTTCTTAAAAACAAATACATAAAAACATCTCTAAGCGGCACGACTTTGACTTACTGAAACAAAACCTGCCTATGTTTTACAGTGAGCACTTTTTAGGAATGTTTACCTGGGTAGAACTCACGTGACTATCAGTATTTTAAATAATTTATTCCACACGTGGGTTCAACATGGGTCATACAGGTAAACAGCTCTCACTTGCTATAGGAAAAACATTGTACTTTTTATACATTTTTAATATTTTAAGTACGAGCCTAATCGTGTGCAAATTTCATACTTTCACACAAGTTTTATTAATGTAATATGCGTCTTTTGTCATTCGCACAAGTTTGCACAACGTTAGGCTCATAGTTAACAAAGGCTTTGAAATGAATGACCGTTCTCGATTTACTATAGAAAATCGCCAATGTCGGCTGACCCCTACCACATTGTATAGTTTTGTTCTTTGTATATTCGTTGATTTCAGCGGTAAAAATTGTTGAATCGTATGGTTTAGATATCAATTGATGATTTGAGATGAATTTATTTTCTTAATTTGTTTGTTTATTTTTTCACATTTTACCGGGGCCCATAAGTGCACTCGTTCTTTACTGGAAAATTGGTCTTATCCTTGGGAAAATTCCTATAAAAGAATAATAAAAGAAATTGTCCACTCACCCACCGATGGCGGTACTTTCTTCTTGAATTTCCATGCTTTATGATAGGCGTAACTGTTCAAACTGACCGCGTGCTATCAGTAGCCGTGGAATCTGATATATAACTGACGTCACACTTTGCTACCCACCACTCAATTTCTTGCAATGCTTGAATTTGTCTTGGATTACGAAAACTCGTAATATAGTCTCTTACAATCTGCTATATTACGCGTATTCGTAATTTAACTACATTACGAAAAATTGTAATATAAGTTTTATATTACGATAACTTGTATTATTATACCTCATTATGAATATTCTACACAACGCGTTATCTGATTGGTTCTAGGCTATCACGTGATCGGGCCGTAAAACTTCATATTTCCCGTCGTCGGCAGGCTTTTCATCATATTCCACCTCTTCAGAACACCTAGTGAATTTTCCCGCAATATAGTTCTCGTTCGTTGAACGAAAACTCCCGAGAGTATTAGACGTCACAATAGCCAGGTTGACGTCACAAAACTGATGACAATGCGTTGACCTAAGGGTTTTATAGTATAACTTTACGTTAACAATGAAAGTGAATTTGACAGCAGTGCCGAATTTGAAAGTTTATGTTTATTTCAAAGGCTTTGCTTGTTTCGGTATAATAAACAATTCATTGCATGAATGTTCGGGAAACATGAAGACTTATTCAGCCAAGAAATATCATATTCCCCTCGGGCGAAGCCCTCGGGGAATATGATTTTCTTGGCTGAATAAGTCTTCATATTTCCCTCACTATCATGCAATAAATGTATAATATTACACTTTCTCGTAATCTTATGTTTTTCGTAATATTACGAATTTTCATATCGGATTGGACTGTTGATATTAAGTTCAATATGAAAGCGGTATAAGTTACATGTATGTCATTTTGCATTATTGTGTTGCACTCCTGATATCTAAAACGTATTCTATTTACCATTGTTTCGAATATTACAACTCACAAAAACCCATTCTTAGTTCAGAAAATAAGTTCATCGCTTTGATAATTAGAACATATGAAAGTATTTAAACTTGACTTTATATTTTAAATTATTCCGTATTTATGTAGAAAAAATAACTATATCTATTCATTACTAAGAACAGTGTTAATACATAAGTATACTATGATTTTAGAATAATTTTCTTGGACAAGGGTGTCCATATTTTTGTATCATGTCTCATGGCATATAGCAAAAATATACATATTCATTACATAAGATATTTTATATTTTTTGTATATATATATTTTTTTTTAGAAGAAAAACACAGAGGCAACCATGCAGAAACATTTTACTTTTCAGTTTTTTCTTTATATTTATGCATATTATACCAGTTATGATTCTAACATATTTGTTGCTCTCCTGGCCAAAAGCATGAAAGTCTTAAAAGTAGAATTGTGACGAGAAAATTACATTAGAACTTGTTGTGTTGTTTCAGTGAAGTTGAGGTGGAATTATCTGAAATTTTAACATTTTATGTGTTTATTTTCAACGCTCATAAACAAATCACAAAAAGATCATAACACATCTGAATGGATAAAATTGGAAAATGAACTAATTTGAATAATAAAACTGCGAGAAAAAAAAATTATGCTATATTCCGTAATAGTGAATTTTCATTCAGATGCAGCCTTGCCTCCCCACTTTTTCTTGTCATAAGGTCAAACACTAAATCAAATTTCACATGTGCCCCCTTTCCCTCCCTTTTTGAGCAGTTTTATATTAATTCATTTTGCCTGCCAGATGTTTGGAAGTTTCACACTACTCACCCGCAGTTCCGCTGTACCCAGATACTGTCAGTATATATTTACTGAGTTCATCTCCGATGTAAAATGTTGTATACACAGCATAGGCCTGTTGACCATTATAACGCTCAAGGTCAACTCGAAGTTCTTGGTTTTTATCCTTAGTTAAGGTGTGTATTGCATCATTCCCTATATAAATATTTGTTTATGCATATATATTTACATTTCCAATGTCTTCATATGAGATAAAATTACAAATAGTCAATGTACTTTATTTATTTCTCCATCAATGTACTAGTTCATCGATAGGCGCGGTTAAAAAAATCACGAGCAGGGCGGGAAAAATAGATACAAGAAGCGGGGCTTCTAGCACGTTGATTGGCGGAATCAATAACATGTAACTATAAGGAATAACTCAAATTTTTCAATTTCATGACGATGATCAATCGATTGGCTTCCGTAAAATTTTTATGCATAAACGCCTTTATGCAAATGACCACGCAAACCAATCGATGGATCACACCATGAAATCAAAAAGTAAGAGAGTTATTCCTTAAATAATTTTTTTTTCACTCTTTGAAATATTTCGACCGTATTATTTCATGTCATGTAACAAAATTGCGCCAAAATATCTGAAAATGTTGCTAGAAAAAATTACACTTTTACAATCGGAAGTTTATAACGCAATAATTTAATTTTAGTTGTAACACTTCATTTGATTGGTTAAACGGTTTTATCCATTTTGTATAATATAACTTGCCTACGTCACAATGAGTTACGTCAAAAATGTTTAACTCCGCTTGACGTTAACTTTAAAAATATGCGATATTTGAAGCCATTTTCCGAAGGAAAACAATGGAAAAAATGTCTCATTGTTATCATAGAAATTAAATTATAAGGAATGAAGCTTATTTCAGCTTATGTTATACGATATAACAAAACTTGGGGCAGTTTACGCTTATATATATATATATATATATATATATATATATATATATATATATATATATATATATATATATATATATATATATATATAAATATAAATATATAATATATATATATATACAAATATATAATATATATATATATATATATAAAGCACTAAGAAACCAACAACACTGTATATCCTAAATGTCAGATCCCCCAAGTAGATACAAGGTCACGGATGGAAATTTATATAAAGCACTAAAAATGACCAAAGACACGAACAATAAAAATTGTCAAATTTTCGGGACGCCCTGTCCCTTCCTCAGGACAAAGAAAAAAGTTATAAAGTCATAAGAACAAAGGAAAAAGAGAAACAAAAACAACTAGCACTACTACTAAACTACTAAACACTAGATATTTACATACTTAATTACATGTTGAATTGAAAATTTTTAAGAACACTAATAAAGAAAGAAATCCGGACCGCTATGAAATGCGTCCGGTCTATCGAGTATACTCGGGTGAAGTGCGATTTACATAATTGAACGAATTAATTATGCTAATAATTACGACAATCAGTAAATCGTACATTGTTTCATTCTCTCAAAGTGGCGTAACTTTACTTAATAAAGAATAATGAAAGAAAAATCATACAGTAGGGATATCTAAACATATGAATTGTGATCAATTATAAATTTTGAAATATTTAAGGACTTATTATCGGGAAAAAAATAATTAACAAAGGCGTAAGCAATAATACATAGTTATGTGGTTGTTCGAGTTCGAGAGTTGGTGGCACAAATTAACTGTAGAGTTTACACTAAATTGAGAGAATAATTTTGTTTAGTATGATCAGGAATTGGGTCTAATTTACGTTCATTCTGGTGAAGTCATTCAATTTGTTAATACCATTTGGGCGGAATGACTTCAATCTGTGCATCCAGAACTTTTCTTTGCTTTTCCTTTGAGCATCTGTCCATCTTGGGTTATGGTCAATCACCACGACTGTCATGTCCTCCATTTGTGACCCTCAAGGTTGAAATGTTCCCCAACGGGTTCATTGAGTTTTTTGGTCCTAATGGTCGAACGGCTAGCTGTCATCCACCACACACTTTTAAGGGAGTGCCTAAGGGTCTAGCCACCAGAATTCGACGCATCTGTTCGTCCCCTGCCTTATATCAGGAGCAAAGTGGTCTTCTTAAGTCCCACTTATGCAAAAGAGGCTACAATGCCCGCACCGTACAAACAGCTATTGATGAGATGGCGGAACATGACAGGCAAAACCTATTACGCTACAAGGAAAAAGACAATAGCGACAGGGTCCCTCTGGTAACCACATACCATCCCTTCCTTAAGAACCTTAGCGGTATCCTTCAAAAGAACCTACCAATTCTCCATTCAAACAAACGAATGGCAGAGGTCTTTAAGGAACCCCCATTGGCTGCATACAGACGCCCAAGGAATCTGAAGGACATGGTAGTAAGAACCAGACTGGACAACCCATTACCTAACGGAGGCTTTAAAACTTGCTCTGACAGGAGATGTCTTCTTTGTAAGCACAGCACTGGCACAGACAGTTTTAACAGCCTTGTTACAGGCCGCAGCTACAAAATACTAGGGAATTTGTCCTGTCATACTGACAACTGCATTTTTTATCTCATCAGTTGCAAAGTTTGCTCCAAACAGTATGTTGGTGAAACAGGAGATCTCCGTAGGAGAGTCAATAACCACCATTCGACCATTAGGACCAAAAAACTCAATGAACCCGTTGGGGAACATTTCAACCTTGAGGGTCACAAATGGGAGGACATGACAGTAGTGGTGATTGACCATAACCCAAGATGGACAGATGCTCAAAGGAAAAGCAAAGAAAAGTTCTGGATGCACAGATTGAAGTCATTCCGCCCAAATGGTATTAACAAATTGAATGACTTCACCAGAATGAACGTAAATTAGACCCAATTCCTGATCATACTAAACAAAATTATTCTCTCAATTTAGTGTAAACTCTACAGTTAATTTGTGCCACCAACTCTCGAACTCGAACAACCACATAACTATGTATTATTGCTTACGCCTTTGTTAATTATTTTTTTCCCGATAATAAGTCCTTAAATATTTCAAAATTTATAATTGATCACAATTCATATGTTTAGATATCCCTACTGTATGATTTTTCTTTCATTATTCTTTATTAAGTAAAGTTACGCCATTCTGAGAGAATGAAACAATGTACGATTTACTGATTGTCGTAATTAATTAGCATAATTAATTCGTTTAATTATGTAAATCACACTTCACCCAAGTATACCCGATAGACCGGACGCATTTCATAGCGGTCCGGATTTCTTTCTTTATTAGTGTTCTTAAAAATTTTCAATTCAAAATGTAATTAAGTATGTAAATATCTAGTGTTTAGTAGTTTAGTAGTAGTGCTAGTTGTTTTTGTTTCTCTTTTTCCTTTGTTCTTATGACTTCATAACTTTTTTCTTTGTCCTGAGGAAGGGACAGGGCGTCCGGAAAATTTGACAATTTTTATTGTTCGTGTCTTTGGTCATTTCTAGTGCTTTATATATATATATATATATATATATATATATATATATATATATATATATATATATATATATATATATATATATATTTGATGTTGAAATGAGCTTCATTCCTTAAATATATATAGGATCTCCAAAAATTTTTAGTTGGATATGATTTTTATCGAACGAGTTGTGTGATTTTTATCCTCGGGCCTTTTTGAAGGGATAAAAAACAAAGGATTAAAGATGAGATTAAAAAAAAGTATCAGATATAAACTAAAGCCAGTTTCTCCGACATACACTATTTTGCTACACATTTTGCTGCGCTGCTCATAAAAATTTCTTTTGTTTGAATATAATTTGTTACGCTTTTTATAAACTAAAATATTTTTTTTGAATTTTTCTCTTCTCTCTTCTAAAAGGTACAATTGGTGTGAGTTTTAGGCGGGTTTAAGGTGATAAAAATTTTCAAGAATTTTTTTAAGTAAAAAAGAAATCAAACTCTTACTGTTGGATGTGATACAGATTTTGCAATGTATGCTCTATGTATAGCCTCCTTATATTAGGAAAATTCAAATTAATTAAAGGTATATATAGCGTACATATTGTATCTGAGCTTAAAAAAAATACGAGATTAAGTGTAGATTTGTTATTTGCGTTTAAATTTAAAGTTTCAGAGATTTTGAAATTAAATATCCCCACAGTTTAATAATAACTTTAAACTGTGCCTGCTATTTAAATTCAGGCCGGAAATTGGTTATTCTTTTGAATCTGGGATATCTATGAAACGCGATTTACCTAAATGGTTTAATTTACAGAAAAATCGTTATATAAAGAAACAGAAGATATAGAAAGGTCATTTTATTTAGAAAGATTTTGGTATGTCTCTCGCTTGACATGCCTAGAGGCTTCGGGTTCGAATCCCGGACGATACATAATCTTTTTTTTAATGCTTCTTTTTCCACTAAATGATAGCATTCAGCATGTAAAATGTAAAAGTTATGATGTCTGGTTTGTCTGTCAAACTCACAAAATCATCATTACAGTAGTGTAATAAATATTCTATATATAAAGAATTTTCTTATACACATAATAAGGAATAAGCAATTAAATCTTCATATCCAAATGAGCTTTTTTTTTGCCTCTATATACATTTATACATTTAATAATTCTACAAATTCAGTGGGTGGAGAGATCCGACCCACCTCAATCAGGAAAAGGGTCGGTACCCCTTAAATAAAATAAAACCATAAGAACATATACCTATCCAATAGTTCTTCGAGGCGTTCCCAAATCCATGTTTATAGGTAATCCATGACCTATAGAAGTCGACGTCACCATCCTGACGTTTCTGAATGACCTGTAAACAATACTAGATATTAAATTAATTTGATTTTTGTTGAATTAGTTATTTTCTCCTTAGTTATCTGTTATTTCGAGTTAGAATATTTGCCATTGTGTATTTTTATACTCTTACTAAACAATCCTTATATAATAGTTTATAACACGTGTTTGAATTATAAGAGAATATTTAAGTGAAACCATTAAGGCTAAATCATTGATAAGCGTTTTTGTTTCTTTCCGAGCACTGATGACATTATTTATTATGATACCCTTTAGGATCATCAGCTGTTTGAAATTTCCTACAGTTAAAAATGAAATACTTGATAAAAGGACATTTTATGAAGTATTCGGTGATCATTAAAAAAATGAAAACACTACTCACCGTCCACCCTCCTCCATCTGTCGTCATGTCACAGAAGACCTCTTTCCGGGTGTCAGGGTAAATAATGTACACCCCATCTTGTCCTTCCTTGCTTGGGTCTTTTTGCACAATATCTGAACAGTCTTTATACATTTTTTCTATTCAATGCAAAAGAAAAAAAAATCATAATCAGTATACTAGTATATAACTTCAAATAAACAAAGCGTACAAAGATTACTTGTCGAGGTTTGTACTCAAGGAAAATATTTATAAAATATTCACATTTGTAAGACAATAATCCCATTCAGATTTACTGATATTTCATAATTAAAGTATTTTTTCCACTTTTTAGCTATTCAGTGTTATTATATGACAGACAAGACATTAGAAATCTAATATCATACAAACAAATAACAGAAACAAGAAGTTTCAATCTTTATCAAGCTTACTTAATTCAAAAGATATTTAATACAGAAATTGATATTTTACCTTTTGAAACAGGAGCACATTGACCAGCAATACAGATTTCCTCCTCAGTACAGTGATGATTCAGACATCTGCCTGCCAAGTGCTGAAGTTAAATCAACTCACAGTTATTTCTTGGGGTCAAATTTTCGTGGTTTGAGGAAAAACTCTTGGTTCATGGGGATTTGAATTCGTGGATGAAGAATTGTTGAGTAGTTATGTGATTAATATTTTTACATTTCATGGTGGACATGAATTCGTGGGTCTCTTCATAAACAACGTACATTAACCCCCTCAAAAATTTTTGATTAAATTAATACTATATGATTCAATTTATTATTATTTAATTGTGTCAAGATTTCTTTCTTACCGTTGGAAAATGTTCCTTTTCGAAATGAAAGATACGGCCGGTAGACACTAAACTGCTATCATTCTTGGTGACAAATTTTGTGTTAAGCCGGCATATATTTTCTCCCTGTATCCAATCCACTGAGCGACACAACTTAAACCTGAAACAAACTACCATGCATGTTGCAATGTCAGCATTGTTCAGAAGCTTAAAGCCAGGGAATGAGGAATTTTCATAATTGGTAATGAGCAACGTTTTTGGATCAAATGGGTCGAAGCACTGAGAGATGCAAGTCTGTAACAGAACTAGAATTTGTCCAAAACAGTAGAGACTGATCATCTTATGACTTACAAACAATTGTTTTAAACAATATGTTTGTCAGATAAAACAGTGGATTCTTCGAAGACAATCAACTGCTTCTAAATCTGTTGCTAATGAAGACTGTAATATATAATTATATGGCAGTCCTTAAGATCTGCCTATTTATGATTAATGCGGTCTCACGGGACCGTTTCTGTGGTACATTTATCCATTTAGGTACATTAAGGGTTAAAACATTATTAATGATTTAAATTTGTTTAATGAATTGAGGCAATTTGTTTTAAAAGATAGTTTAAAAGTAATCATAAATAATCGAGACGTATATGGAAATTAGCGAAGTAACAAATATTCGAATACTAGACCATCGTTTAATCATACCGCCTATAGACTAAACTTTTGTAAATTCAATTGTGCGTTAAAAATTGTGAGTTTATATAAATGTAAAATTCAATATAATTTAAATTGGAGCCACTTTATTTATTTCAAATCTAAAGTGCTTCAATGTTCATTGTATCGGTAGCTTTTTTCTAAAGCAGTAGCACGGGTCTCATTAAATATTGTGTATTACTAGATCGTACGTGTTTTCTCTAGTGAAAGATATTTCGTTCGTCTAAAATTTATTGTAATCACCTTTAGAAACAGAGCAAATGTCCGACTTTTTACTGATTCCAAAGCTGCTGTTTTCCAGTGGTTCGTGTTTTACCCTGTTCTGTGTACTGTGTGTATGAGGTTGATTACTATAGGGTCGTGTTTGACCCTGTTCTGTGTACTGTATGTATGAGGTTGATTACTATAGGGTCGTGTGTGACCCTGTTCTGTCTACTGTATGTATGAGGTTGGTTACTATAGGGTCGTGTGTGACCCTGTTCTGTCTACTGTATGTATGAGGTTGATTACTATAGGGTCGTGTTTGACCCTGTTCTGTCTACTGTATGTATGAGGTTGATTACTATAGGGTCGTGTTTGACCCTGTTCTGTCTACTGTATGTATGAGGTTGATTACTATAGGGTCGTGTTTGACCCTGTTCTGTCTACTGTATGTATGAGGTTGATTACTATAGGGTCGTGTTTGACCCTGTTCTGTGTACTGTATGTATGAGGTTGATTACTATAGGGTCGTGTTTGACCCTGTTCTGTCTACTGTATGTATGAGGTTGGTTACTATAGGGTCGTGTTTGACCCTGTTCTGTCAAATGTATGTATGAGGTTGATTACTATAGGGTCGTGTTTGACCCTGTTCTGTGTACTGTATGTATGAGGTTGATTACTATAGGGTCGTGTTTGACCCTGTTCTGTCTATTGTATGTATGAGGTTGATTACTATAGGGTCGTTATCTTCACTTCACTTACCACCAAATTAAAAATGCCAATAAAAACTTGTTTCAATAACTTTTTTTCATAACCCAAATGAATACAGAACTGTCCTTAATCACAAACTTTAAATTGTACTTATATTATGTTTTATAAGTGCATGACACACAGGAGACTAATTTGTGATATATTATTTTATCAGATAACTGGATGTGTTTGTGAAACACAGATCTCTGTATGTCAGCGTATGGCAAAAGGAAGGATATGGAGATAACGAACAGTATTCAATCTCAAAGTCCATTAAACAATATACAAAATAAGAGCAGAGCAAACACGGACTTCCGAAACATCGGGGGTGGGATCAGGTGCCATGGAGGTGTGAGCATCTCCTGCCGACCGGTCACACCCGCCGTGTGCTCGTTGTCATGATCAGGAAATAACGGAAAAATCCGTCGTCAATTCAGTGTATAAATAATGGACTAACAATTGGTATTAAAAACGTCAGTCAGCATTTGACTCAATGATAAATTGAACTCGCTGACAAGGTCATTGTATCGACCATAGAACTTACGAAAATTCATGATTTAAACGAGACTGTTGATATTCTTGTTTCATCAACTTGCTTGTCAATAATTTACCTCGTTTAAGAAATTGTTAATACATAGAGCATGCTCTTGCGTATCGAATCAACTGAGATATATATACTCCGTATGCAGGTGATGAAGGTATATTGCTGCATAAGTAAGGGAAGTTGACGATAGAAAAGTTAAAGTCATCACGGTTATCATATAGCTTGGTTGTTAGATTACCATTTACGTCTTTTTCAAGTAAAATATCCAAGTATGAAGCAGAAGTGTCGGACTCTGTGGTATCTTTTATCTCAAGGTCACCAGAATATATCGTATCGACGTAGGAATGGAAATTATCATTATTAATTGACAATACGTCGTCGATATATCTAAATGTCGAGTTGAAGGCCACAACAAGTGTTTTCTTCTTTTCACGCATAAGATTTTGCATAAATTCTGCTTCATATGAATATAAAAATGTCTGCTAATAATGGAGCGCAATTTGTACCCATGGGAATTCCAATAGATTGTTGGAATACCTGGTCTCCAAAAACCACATAGACATTGTCAATCAGAAACTCAAGCATCTTCTTGATGTCAACTTCAGAGTGTGTGCAATCAGAATCTGTTTTAACAAAATAATTTTGCAAATGACCAATGACGAGGTAAGTAAATTTACGAGTTCCATTTTTATTGAAGAAGCAGCTGTCAATGATATTATAAAGCCTGGATTTAAATTTGTCGTGGGGAATTGTTGAGTATAAAGTTGAAAAGTCGTGAGTTTTTAAGCTGTTGGTTTTTGTATAAAGTCTTGTGATTTCAAATTGTCCAAAAGTTCTTTAGAATTTTTAGGTATCCACATCTGATTTACACCACTTCTTGAATATATAGTTGCACAGTACTCTTGAAGTTTTTCCTTCACTACTGTCAATATCTTAGTGAGAAGTAACGAAAGAGGCTTGGTTAAACATTTACTGGAACCAGCAATGTATCTTTGTTTGTAAGGATTCTTATGAAGTTTCGGAATCCAATATATATAAGGGTAGTTCAAATTCATTTTGGCTCTGTAGAATATTTAAAAGTATTCAAAACTGACAGCTGATTTTGAAGAATTTCTTCCATGGAAAGAGAAGTATGAGTATTAGTAGGATTACCACTTGTACAATTAAATCCAAGTTCTTCTAGAATGCAATTTATATAATGAGCCTTACAAACGAAGACAATGTTGTTACCTGCTTTGTCGGCAGGAACCAGTACGTACTGATCGTGTAATCTATCTAATTCTTTTTTTTTAATTCTGGTTTATTGAACACAGAAGGATAGATGGATTTCATTTTGCCCCTCAATCTTTTAATACGTGACTCTAACATAGATCTGATACATTTAACCCATTCTGACAAGGTGTCAACGTCTTCTTTTTCATATCTGGTCCATCGTCTGGCGTAATTTTCAACAGTATCCATAATATTTATGAAATTCCAACCCAGTTGAAGGATCGGGGTTCCTTATATTTAGGACCTTTTAAAATAAGTGTTCTAAGGTCCTCATTACGAACTATATTTACGTCACCTGTAATAACGTGTCCAGCATGACTATAGAAATAGGGCGAAGAAGAACATGAACACGAAGGGAGATTATTTTTCAAATAGTCGATATCCAGGCCATGTAAAGTGTTTTTGTAATTGAAAAGTTTGGAAGCAATGGTCGATGTATGTTTGTAGGAAATACAAGATGTAGTCTTTATCTTGAAATATGGTGGAATACAAGACTGGACCCTTTTGTGATTAAGAATATTACTGATATTTACAGCGTCAATTCCTTTATTGGCATGTTGAAGTTTAAGGAAAAGACGGATTGTTTTAGCTGCATTTTCTTCCGTAAAAAGTTATGGTTTATCAAATGCATATTAAACTCCAAGGTCAAGAGATAAAAAAAAGATGATAACGAAGGCGTCAATACAGGACAGTGAACATCACTTTGGCGAAACTAAATATATGTGATCATAAAAGAAACGAAAGCAGCACATTCTTCGTACGTACATAGATACTAGTACCTAATGCCATTCTTTGTTCATATGTTGACAAAATATTCTTAGTGCTACCATAAAAAACTACCCCCCACTTTTTATTTGCCGAGTATATTTCTAGCATTTTCAAAAAGTGGTAGCGTCTCAATAATCCTCGAAAGGGACTTCAAATAAAACAAACAATACAAATAATTTTTTTCATATATCAGATAACCGACCGCTTCTTGTGGGTGGCAATAAATAAAAGCTGATCTAAAAAAAACTTATTCTCTTAACATATGCTTAATATGTTATTTTGTTAATCAAACCACATGCAACAATCCATTTTTTATTTTAAAAGACTTAACTTTTTTGCTGTCTTCATACGCTTATAATTTTGCTTGAACATTTCAGAAAGATCGTTTCAACAATACATTAAATGACTTTCACCAAAAAATAAATTTATTCGGTCAGAAAAAAAAGATTTACATGTATGACAGAACTAACTATTTCAAAAAAGCCCTCTGTATTTTCAAAGTCATTAATTATAAAAATGTTATTCATTGCTCTACTTTTCACATATTCTTTTCAGGATTACTATATGCATTAATCATTTGAAAAGTAGAAGGTTCTTAAAAGGAAAATTGAAAATATTGAAAGATGAAATACAAAGTACGTCATTGAATTTTTGTTTCTTTAGTGTCATACTTAACAGACATTTAAATTCCATTTGAGTTGGATTTTAAAAGATAGATAATGAAAAGAAATAGCAATTAGTGTTTTGTAGAGAATTATTCCAATTAGACACATTCCACTTGTTGTAATCCTTACAAATAAAAGCAGCTATGAAACAAACTGAAAAGACATTAAATATCTAAATATACTTTAAACAGTTCTCAGATGAAGGTCCCTTTAAGTTTCAATTTAAAACAATTTTAGACGGCAATGTACTGCTGATACGGGGTATATCCTGTTCGTAAGACTTGTAGATCCTGAGTAAAAAGGCGTTTTGTGTTAAAGGGAGCCCACTGGGGGTTTGTGTACAAACTACTGTAGAGAACCTCTTTAAATTTATACCATATGTACCTTACATTGTCATCAATGTACTCGCCAAATTTATTGAAAATCTACCGCTGGTTAGTTTTTTAAAGACAAAATCAAGTACAGCTACAATAATTATAGGATTACATAGGAAAATGGTTAGTTTTTTCGCTCTTCGGGGCTATTTATCCAAATTTATCCAAATGCTATGTATAGACTTTTTACTCAAACTATATTTATTTTATTTGTTGAGTAATACTATATTGTACATAATTATGCAGGGAACACAAAATTTTACCAGAGGTGGCATTTCAAAATGACAAAATTCATGTTAGTTTCCTGTTTGTTGTTGTTTTTTTTTTTTTTTTTTGTTTTTTTTTTTTTTTTTTTTTTTTTTGTTGTTTGTTTGTTTGTTTGTTTTTTTTTCTTCTTTTTTTTTTTTGTTTATTGTTTTTTTTTGTACTACAAAACATGACAGATATCACATATTTGTATAAAAATAATAAAAGACATTGTCACTTACATGCACTACGTGCATGTATGTTTAAAATTTCAAGAGCGTCTAGTTTATACGTTTTATTTTATGACATGATTGATAACCCTCTTAATGAACTTCGGTTATTCATAACGTCAAAACATTTATAAACATTTTAGAAAATATGTTATTTAAAATGTTATTAAATTTTTTTATTAAGATTTCCTAAATTTGGTAATTTTTATGTAAAAATAGCTGCTTGAAAAGAGTAAATTTATATGTTTATTCTACATATGTACTACTAGTATGCTGCGCGAAGTACTTCAACAGTTATTTCCATTGTTATGTCAATACGATATATCCTGCTCAGCTTGAGATAAAAGATACCACAGAGTCTGACACATGTTTTACTTGAAAAACACGTTATTGATAATCTAATTAACAACCAAGCTCTATGATAAACGTGATAACTTTAACTTTACTACCGTCAACTTCCCTTACTTATGCAGCAAAGTACCTTCATCACCTGCATACGGAGTTTACATATCTCAGTTGATTAGATACGCAAAAGCTTGCTCTACATATAAACAATTTCTACAGCAAGATAAATTATTGACAAGCAAATTGATGAAACAAGAGTTTCAATAGTCTCGTTTAAAGTATTCATTTTCGTAAGTTCTATCAATGGTCCATACAATGACCTGTCAGCAAATACAATTTATCATGGAGTCAAATGCTGACTGACGTTTTTCATACTATTTGTTAGTCCATCATTTATACACTGAATTGACGACGGATTTTTCCGTTATTCCCTAATCATGAGCACACAGCGGGTGTGATCGGTCGGCTAGGGATGCTAACACCTCCATGACACCTGATCCCATCTCTGATGTTCTGGAGGTCCGTATTTGCTCTGCTTCTATTTTGTATTGTTTTATGGACTTTGGATCTTGAATACTGTTCGTTATATCCATATGTTTCATTGCGCAATGAATACCCCAGTTAGTCCCCTTAAGCTATTTTTTTTGTTTTTTACAGCACAGACTGTTACATGAAAAGAGAATATGCACTGTTCTGTCGTTGAAAATGGAATTCAGCGCTGTATTTCGTGAATGGCTTGGGACATGATATTTATCTTTTAAATGTTCATCCGTGCTTCGTACTCGTGTAAATATCAAAGAATTATGTCGAACTCGTGAAAAATTCCATATTCAGCGACAAAACATGGACTGATCTGTTGAATACATTTTCTTTGATTTTGCTTTGCTCTGTCGTTTTGTAACACAGTGCCATACAGTTTATGTTTAGGCTATTTGACGTCTTAGTTGAGCGGTTGAAACATCAAAACTGTCTAATTATAAGTAGCGTTCGCTTCGTGATCGGGAGGCCCGGGTTCGATTCTCGATCGCGGCGCCGCGTCATACCTAAGACGTAAACAAAGGTAGTGACTGTTCCTTCGCCAAGCGCTCGGCACTAGAAGTGAAAGTCACGGGTCTTTCGGATATGACCTTAAAAACGTAGGTCCCGTGTCACGGTAGGCGTTGGCACGATAAAGAACCCTCACTGCTCAATGGCCCTGAGTGCCGAGTATAGGTCTAAATTTGAAGCCCTTCACCGGCATTGGTGACGTCTCCATATGAGTGAAAAATTCTCAAAAGGGACGTTAAACAATATACAATCAATCAATCTAATTATAAGTGATTTAAGATTCAAAACAATGTAAACGTAAATCTAAAAATAATTTTTCTTTCTTCATTGTCTTTCTTCAGTAACTGCGGGAAAGTTACAAATAAATCCCTAGCTCTTTCATCAAATAGTTCCATATCGCGGGTATGATGAAAGAGCTACTCCACTCACAACCAGTGGATGTGTATATTAATTATTGGACTAATGCCCGTGCATTAGTCAAGTGAGTTAATCCTCGCTCTGAAAGCTAATTCCCTGTCATTCGTAATCCTTTACTTTTTTTACTTTAATTTATATCAGTATAATAAAACAGTTGAAAAGTATATCATGAGGGGGTCAGCAAGATTCCAGTTTCCCAGGACCAGGACTATTTCCCTTGTCTGCGCCCCGAAAAATAGTTCTGGCCTTGGGGAACTGGGATCTTGCTAACTCCCTCAATGATATAATTTAACTGTGTAGTAAGCGCCAGCTAGTCCCGTCATTTACAAAGATCTATAGATGTTGATACCTCCAATAACTAAGCTAATTTTCCATTTGCTTTAATACAACAGAAATAGTATTATAGAAATATAAATGTAATCACCTCTTAATATCATTAACACATAAAGAATCCTTTCCTCCTACCTGGGTATGTCATTGACACAGTAAAACAAAAAAGACATCTTAAAAACTATTTATGATTTTGTTATAAAAAGCACAACATTTAAGAACATTACCATGTAGTTTCCGATTAAGCAACAAATCTCCTAGTAATTGACATGGGCTAGTTCTCCAACATAAGAATGTTTTATGAGGATTGATTCCCCCAAAAATGTCACAGTTATTATAAAATCTTTTAATATTCACAAGTTTTCATAAAAACTTTAACTTATGTCTCTATCTATTTTGACCTGCCCAAAAATCTCATCCAGATTATTCATGAAATATTTAAATAAAAACAAGGTTGGGTCTCGTCTATATGTATCTGCCCCACTGCATGAATCTAACCTATGTCATTATGATGTTTTTCCTTGACACTGAAACTGATGATACATAAGATTTACACAAAAGAAATAAATTTCCCAAATAATGTTTGGGTAAAGTAATTGGGCAAAAAAATCAAATTATAGTAGTTATTAGTGCATATGTATTCATTTACATTTTTCAACATGTTACACTTCAACTACGTACTGCAGTTGATTATTCAAGTGTTGATCTAACCTCACAAGTGTTAAAGATGCTGAAACAATCAATATTTATACATAGTAAAGTCTTTCACAAATTCATGGCAAGAACCTAATGCTTCTCTGCATCAGTACTAACAGACTTGAACCATTATCGAGAGGCCCATGGGCCACATCGCTCACCTGTGAAACTTTGACCATGCAATTTTTAACCAGATTTCCCTTTGGTAATATCTACTGTGAGCAAATAATACCCCAAAGGTCTTAATTTGGACAATTCAAATTCCCTATTGTGGCCCCGCCCAACCCCCGTAGATCATAATTTGAAAAATTTAGAATCTACACTACCCCAGGATGCTACCACATAAGTTTCAGCTTTTCTGGTCCAGTGGTTCTTTAGAAGAATTTTTTTAAAGATTTTTCCCAATATATATATTTCTGTGTAAAAAAAATTTGATTCCCTATTGTGGCCCCACCCAATCCCTTTGGGTCATTATTTGAACAATTTAGAATCTACACTACCCCAAGATGCTTATAGTTTCAGCTGTTCTGACCCAGTGGTTCTTGAGAAGAAGATGATCCCACCCTATTTTTGTCTTTTTTTTGATTATCACCCCTTGTGATGGGACTTGGCCCTTTATTTTAACAATTTTTGGTGTTTTGTACCAAGTTTGATTAAAATTGGCCCAATGGTTCTTAAGAAGAAGTCAAAAATGTGAAAAGTTTACAGACAGACAGCTAGACAGCTGGACGGATGACAGACGAAATGTGATCAGAAAAACTCACTTCAGCCTTCAGCTCAGGTGAGCTAAAAGTTTGTTTAATCTCATTTTTCTCATCATAAGGCAATCTTCTTATTCTTGAGAGTTTAGAAAGAATATAAAATGTTCACAAAAAGTTAATTTCCATGAAAATTTTGATCTGTGCTTACATAACAGATTTATTCAAGTGTTGTAAGCTGTTTCATATACAAGGTAAAGAACAGATTTCAAAGTGCACTTTTATACAAAAATATACAACATTTTTCTCATAACAGTTCAGATTTCAAGGTCAACTTTTATACATGAATACATATGTAATCTCAATAATTTGGGCTAAAATAATTTTTAGAGGAAAACAAGAGATGTTTGTAAAACACTTATGCCCCCCTCCCCACCCCAAATTAGAATTTTTCCAAGTCCAGAGGGGCATAACTCTGTCAAAAATGTTGCAATCTTACCCAAAACAGAACTTTGCTTACATATTCAACTGATTAATCTGTATACTAAATTTCATTTCAGTATGTGCAACCACTGCAAAGGAAATGAACGGAAACTGCAAATAATTGGAATTTTTTAAAGCCCAAGGGGCATAACTCAGTCAAAAATGGTGCGATATTATACAAAACAGAACTTGACCCAGATATTCATTTGAAAAATCTGTATACCAAATTTCATTTCATTATGTGCAACCTCTATGAAGAAAATGAATGGAAATTATTAACAGACCGACAGATCGAACGACAGACAGCAGCAAAGCAGTATGCCCTCCCTTCTTCGAAGGGGGCATAATTATATCTTCAAAATATTCTCTGCACGTTTTCTTTCAAACAATACCCTTTCCTCCGGGGACATAACTGGCCTACGGTCTAATTTAAACAATTTTTCTAGGTCGCATGGAAGTCTCTCATTCCAGTCCTTAGCTAGAAGAGGAAACAGATGTCTTACTTTGACACAAGAATCCCCCTCATCAAACCCCTCCTTGGCCATAGTTGGCCAGTATTCATCCTCCTCAGTGACTTGGCAATGTTCCAATTCAAACAAATTAATTGCCACTGGACGTGAAGCGTCTGGTCTGAGGATGTGTTGCCCATCCCCCGGAGTGAAGCGCAAAAGGAACCTTGTATGGAGGATAAATTTGTCCAATTCCTTATTTCCTAGGCATTCTCTGAAATCCTTTATACTGTTCCGTCTTTTCTGTGTATACCTCTCAAAAGCTTCCTCCACTTTTCTATCCCGACCAACAAAAATATCTTCCAGAACATCGTTCAGCAGTTTTGGTGTCATGATGTACTCCTTACTAAATCTCTCATACACTTCCTTTCCTTTTTCTTTTAGATCTACACACCTAGAATAGTCTTTTTCAGTTTTTCCTCTTTGGGAAAACAAGTATTCAACCGATCCCTTCCAGATTTTCAGAGAGCTGTCCTCATCAAGCTGATGGTTTCTTCCAAAGATGTTACAGTGCAAGTGGGATGCATCTGCAGTGAAACCAGTTTCAATCAGAATGAACTTAGCATCTTTTACTTGCTGGTGGACCATTTTCTTGATATTTTCAAGATAATGGCTGTTGTAAAGGGTTACATGATCTATGATAAGACAGGCTCTATCAAGAAAGTTTTTGCAGTAGGCACCAAAGGACACTAAGTTCTTATCTCTTTCTTCAATTTTGTTCAAATCAACATAATGAACACTGATATCATTCTCTTTTCTGCACTCCAACACATAGTACATTGCTGAAGATGATATCCCTAGCCCTTCAATTCCACTGAGTAGATTCCAATCATTTTGTATCAATCTCAGATCTCTCATACAATCAACAAAATCCTCATGGAACTTGGTTTTAAGGAGGTATCTTCCCTCTTTGAAGGGAGATAACTTGGCAAAAAAGTTCCCTTCCTCATCATCACTAATGTGTTGTAGCACACTGGCTTCAAATAATGCAGACTAAAATAAAGAGGAAAAAAATACCGTATAAGTAGAATTTTTAGCGAGGATTTAATTTTGGCATTATTAGCGAGGGTGCTGACATCGCTAAAATTGAATATCGCTAAATATTGATTGCATATTATTTGTAATAACTTCTTTAGTAAGCATTTCAAAATCGCTAAAATTACTTCTCGCTAAAAATAAAATACCAGATTTTAGGTAGAAATCGCTAAATTTGCGTCTCGCTAAAATTTCCACTTATACGGTATTCAGCTTCATGTAATACCATGAATAAAACCATAAGGACAAGCTAGGGTAGGAAGACTTGCATGTATGTAATCATGAATTGGGTACAGAAGAGGTGGAGAGACACAGCAAACAGGAATAAATCAAATGTGCATCATATCTTCATTTCCACTCATTAAATTCATACAGAGACACCAAAGGGCCATAATGCTCACCAAAAAAATTATAGCAATTCTATTCTTCTTATGCAAACTCTTTTTCCTACATATTCTTTTTTAAAACTTTTATGGAGCTTTAAGGGTGCAGACTTGCTTACACATGCATCTAAGAATCAAGGATACTATCATACCCTTCAAATAAACCACAAATAGCATCCAGTGTTTTTAGTTATTTAAGACTCAAAATCACCTATGCAAATTGAAAAATAAATCATCATTCACTTTAATCAGCAAATATCGATTAAAATACTTACAAAGATTAGCATTGAAAAGTCTGGGCAATGTCAATCATACATGAGGGAAAATTGTTTCATCCTTTTTTACAATGTAACACTTCTGAATCATTAACCTTTTTTTAAATTTAAAATTAAATACCTCCTTGGTTGCTAGAGATTTTTTGCTAGTTCTCTGTTTTTTACGCTGGTTTTCCTCACATCCTAAACTTTTGTCTTCATCTGACTCTCCAGCTTCTTGCTTCATTGGCTAAAAATACATAAAATGTTGTTACAAGAGGTACGATGGTGAAATGGACAGTTTTGAAAAATTAGAAACTCATATAGAATACAGAATTATTCCTGTAAAAGCAGTGAATATTTTTCCTTGTTACATTTATATCATTTCAGTCTGATTAACTCATTAATCTAAATTTGATTTGATTAATTGTGAATAAGTCATCTTGATTGTGAAAAAATTAAAACATATTTGGCAGTTTTCATTCATTTCTTCAAAATTGTACTCAAAAGAATGGAAGAAATTGTCATTAAACACCATTATTTACCAGCTCTGCCATAATGAAATCCTAAATATGGTCAAATTGTTTCTTGCACACTCCTGAAAAGATAAATTCACATTAGATAAAAACAGCTTCATGTATTTTAATCAAGATTGGCACAGGCATTCTACTTGACAGACCAGCGTGTATAGCCAGAATGGAAGTGTACACAGAGAACAGCAGGGGGTGGGAGGAGGGGTCTTAGGATCATCTCACAAATCAAAATCTTATTAACACATTTCCAAATTACGAGTGATTTAACTATGCAAGTGGGGGTCGGGTGGGGGTGGAAATGTTTTTTTTTTTAACCTTTCACTTAACATTTTCAACTAGGTGCCTGTTGGCAAGGGCACAGAAGCATTTATAACAAATATTTCATTCATATTTTATTCATTTTTTTCCTAAATAAACATTTTGCCATTTAGCTTTTTTTCAGATCTACGGTATCATATACTTTTTCCTTAAGTTCAAAAGCACATTGATGTGAAAACAAAAAGCTATTTGTAAAAAAAAAAAAAAAAAAAAAAAAAAAAACCATCAGATTTTAAATCATATAATAAAAGATCATATCAATGAACAATGTATTTGAATTAAATTTTCAAAAGGTTTTTCTTCCTACATGTTAACTTAAAGTATAAATTTATTAAAGAACAATTACAAATTAATGAATGATCTGGCAATAAAGTACATACAGTATTTCAACTTTTGTTTTACAGTACTTACTGCGAGTGAAAATTTCAATTGAAATTTATAACACAATATAAATCAATTTGGAAAACATAAATATTTGTTGGAAATGAACCTTTTATTTTGAAAACTTAACTGATGTGTATGCTTTTGCGTATAGGCAGTTACGAATGAAAAGCTAACGGGTTCAAAACTCCTACTCTGTAATTCTTAAAATGAACACTTGTAAACCCAAATTTGTAATTTGTAAATCTTAATTTCATAATTTGTCAATTGTTCTTTCAAATTTGTTAATTGTAAATTATCAAACATAACTTGACAAGTGTAAAAAATGTAAATGCAAGTTATGTCAATGAACACATGTAATTCGTAGACTTGCGATTCATCAACTTATGAAATGTACTTTCATGATTTGTAAATTATGCAAGGTTGCATATTAAGATGAAAGAGGGCGCTATAAGGGTGGCAAGTCATTTCGCCCCAAAGCTAAAATAGATCCTTAACCAACTGAGTTTTGTGACATGCATGCAAAGCATGCCTTCAAACGGTCTATCAAGCTGATTACAAATAAGATTTGAGTTTTATACAGGAAAGATCTGGGATCTAAACACACAAATCTCTGCTCGTATATAAAGAGGGCAGGCGCGGATCTCGGGAATTTTTTTATCCAAAGGGGGGTCGAGGTGCACCCCAGTCAAAATATTCCAAACAAAAATTCTTCGACATTCGACAAGCAGAAAAAAACCTATTTCGAGTTGGTGTTTGTGTGGGGGGGTGGAGGTGGTTCCAAAGTCATTTTCAATGTGCTTCAGACAGTGTATACTGTATATACTATATATATTTTTTCTGAATTTGATTTTGTTTCATGAGGATTCATGGAATAAACTATATGTAACCCAACAAAACTGAGATGCTCCATACCTTCTGGGATGTGTTCGGCTGTATAAATTCATCTGATTAATGTATACAAACTCAATGAGTGGCGCAAAGAGAAGGACCCCCCTCCCTAGTAGTTTGTCAGTCTTAAATCTTAAGAAATATAATTATTAATAATATTAATGATTATTTATAAACGGATTATTTATAAACGCAGAAATAGTCATCTGTTTGGAAGAAAAGGAAAAGGAAAAACTACATACTTGATATATGATCCTTTCCAAATAATTTTTAATTATTTCATTAAATTAATTAAAATTAACAAACTTCCGCCACTCTTGTCTATCCTGGACCAGTCGCGCCAATGATCCCCATGCAGGTCTGGTGAATTGCTGGACGCATTGGGGAAATGATTGAATTAACCTGCCACCCGTATAGCGCCCCCTTTTGTCTTAATAGGTGTTAGCATAATGCAACCTTGCATAATTTACAAATTTACAAATCACGCAAGTGCAATTTACGTTTCACAAGTTGACAAATCGTACGTCTACGAATTACACGAGAGCATCCGCAAAACTTGCATTTACATTTTACACTTGTCAAATTACGCATGAATATTTACAACTCATAAATT